AATGGTTCTACTGGGTTTCTCTTAATTTTTACAAAATCATCCCAAAATTGTGAAAATTATGGCCTTTTCGGGCTACAAATTAGGAAAAATAATTTCTTTTCTTTGCTTCTCATTTAAAATCCCTTAAAGATATATGCTGATCAAAATGGTGAACTTGTTTATCATGACTTCATGATCATCTAAAAACATTTTGAAAGTGCTAGCACTAAAGCTGACCATGTGAGAAGCTGAAATGTGCTTAATATGCACGTATTTCTTTATGCGCATAAAGCTATATTTTGTTCTCAATTTGAAATTAACCAATATTTGGTCAAGTAAAAAATATACAATGATCAGATTTTTTGTACAATTTGATAAATCCAAAAAACCTAATATTTGAGTAGTGATTAATCATCTCAAACTTTTTCAGTTTTATACATGCATAAAAAGTGTATAAAACGCAAGAAAAAAAGACATGGAACCTGAAAAAGAGAATTCCAACAAAAAAGAAAGAGAGGAAAAAAAATAGAACATTTGAGAGAACCTAATTCCTAGACAAAGCAAAGGATATAGATACAAGAACGGGTTACAAAATTCAAGCTGAGGAGAAACTGAGCAATCAAGTTTGAATCATGATAATGTGCTTTGCAACCCGGCATTCGTGTTACTAACCGAAGATAGATAGATAGATAGATAGATAGATAGATAGATAGATAGATAGATAGATAGATAGATAGATAGATAGATAGGTGTAACGTATTTTGGTTTACATTTTCCGCATCTATGGAGTACCATGTCATCATTGAAGATGTAATACATGTGTGTGGATGACATGTAGTCCAGACACCCTTTTTCGACTACATTTCGAGTACATTTACAATTTATTTTCCATTTTGATTTAAATCAAAATAAACCTAAACAAAAGAAAGCTGGCGCAGCTTTATTTGATCATGACAGCTTGATTTAACCACGTGCTGCCCGTTTTACGTTTAATTATAATAATATTTAATTCAATGATTAGTACTTGGGGTGGGGAGCAATAAGTTTTATACAGCACATACAATACAATTAG